AGACCCAGTGTTCACGCTGCTGGCACGGCACCTGCGCACACCATGCTCGGTCCCACCTCTGTGCCCCAGCATCACTCGCTCGCAACCACTTAAAATATGCCAGTAAATAAATAAATAAACAAAGCCATCATAAAGGATGCTCAGACAAAACTACGCAAAATCCCAGCCTGCCAGCCTCGCTGCAGGGAGTCAATCCGTAACGCTCGTGGCTCAGCACCTCGTTGTCTAGGCAGGGATGGTTCAGAGCCCCAAACCACATTTCCTCCACAGCAGCTCAGCTCAGTTTCCAATGCCTGCAGACAAGGAGAAACAGGCACAACTCTCCCCTCCGTGCACTGATGACAATCTCTGGTCAGAGGCAGATAAAACTGAGCTTCTGCTAGTGCTCCTTCTACTCGTACAGATCTCTGCACCATGGGGCTCTGCACACAACCACAACTCTGTGTGCTCCAACAACCTACTCCTTACGAAGGAAGCAGCAACCATGGAGGTACGGAAGCAGACGCCTTACCTGTCGCTCCGACATGACATACAGATACTTCTGGTCGATGGAGAAGGCCATGTCTCGAAGGACTGGGCTCCCGTCCTTGAAAACTGTCACCATTTCATACTGAATTCCACCATGGGGAGGACCATCTGCTCGGATCTGGAAGAAGCAAAAACAGATTACAGGTGATTTCATAGCAGCCAAATTCCAATTTTATTTTGAGGGTGGGGATGAGGGGAGGAGGACGAGGTAGGAAAAGGAATCTGATTCAAAATCTCAGCTTGCAAGACGGAGACAGAGCAAAGGCCTGGCAAGCAACATGCATGCACAGGAGTTAAAGCAATGGCTCCTTCTCCACTGAAGTTGATGTGATTTCCCCAATCCATAAGAAATAATGTGAAAGGTTTGCGGTCGAAGGGAGCACACAGAGCGTCAGTGTGCTATGACTGACCACAGGCATCCAAGAGTAACAAAGATCATAAACTTTTTAGACTCTCCAAAATAAGCCTGAAAAAAGACCACAAGACTCCACAAGCAGCACAACAAGGCCAAGTTACAGCAGAGAGGTTTTTCCCCCAGATGCAAAAAGAATGAGACAATCTCCATCACCTCTTGCTGCCACAGAAGCTCTCTACAATACCATTTTTGCTTAAAAATTGGGAGATGCTGCTGCCATCTCTTTACTTCCAAATTTTCAGGGTTCAGCAAGGCAAACCCAGTCCAGCCCGTCCTGCTGAGCGAGCAGAGAACTAACACAGCAGCCATATGGCCTGTTCAGTTTGACAGGCTCCCAGTATCCATCCACCCCACCAAAAAACAACTCCCTGCTCCTGCAGGAAAACCTGCCCAAGCTGTGACAAATCCCATCCCTGCCAGGAGCGGCTGCTGTTGAGGATATGCCATCTCTTCCAAAAGTTAATAATTTATGGCCTTGGGGGGTGTGCAAGGGGAAGGGAGGAGGATAAACAAACAATTTACATTGTCTTTCCTACCAGGATTTGCATATTTGAATAGCCATTTGATTGCAACGTGGTGTCTACATAGCTGAAAACACTGGCAACCATCAGGCAAGGAGACAAGAGCAGTCAGGCGAGCCAAGGGCTCGGCGGAGCTTTTTTTTTGGAGAGGCGGGGGGAGCCAAGGGCTCGGCGGAGCTGCTGCTGGCCCCGTGGCTCGCAGCAACAGCGATGCTGTTCGACGGGGACCAGGAACGCACTCTGCACGCGGGGTGTTGCGCAGCACGTGCACGCTGCCCTGCGAGGAGAAGGATGCACGGGGGACTGCCCATCCCTGGGAAAACCTCTTATCACAAAGATGCCATCTGCCGCAGGCTCATGCCGAGCTGTCTTGCCGCATCCCATTTTGCTGCTCGATTACTCCCTGCCTGGCTGTGGTACGGAGGAAGAGGCACGAAGAACCAGCTTTGGACAAGTCTAAGCCTTCAGAAGAGACCGGACGGAGCAGCAGAGAGGGACGTCTATTTTTTCTGGTTCACATACCCAGGGGGTAAGAGAGCAGGTTGTTAAGCATCTTAAGATTTATCTGAGAAATGTGCCACCCCAGCTGGAAATACAAGGATATCTTCACGCTCATAGAGGCGAGATGCTCCCCTGCACCCTCCTCCAGATAAATCCTCTTCTTGGAAAGAGTCCTGATGCCTCCTGCCATGTCAAGACACGTTGGGTACACAAACACATTTATTTTCTGGATTTCTCTCTTTCCTCCTCACCTTCTGAGTTTTTAGTGATATAAAAGAACACCAGGTGTGAATCTGAGTGGTCTGGTTTAGCAGGGAGCCTCTGGCAGGATTACAGAGGCAGCCCAAGCCTGGCTCAAAAGCCCTGAACTTTCAGAAAGGAAAATCCAAAAAAAGGCAGAAGGTCAAATCCTGCTTTAGTTACGCCTGTACAATCTGGGTACTTCGTTGCCTTCATGAAATACTGAGAACTAGAGGCAGGTTGAGATCAGCATGAGACCAGTGTCTTGCTGAGTGTTGCAAACCCCAGTGACCCGCACTGCCTCTGGAGCCAGTGCCACCTCCCGCACCAGCCTGCACCACAGACACAGGGAGAAGGCTGCAAAATCACCTGAGGAATAAATCGCAGGGACACTGGGCTGTCAGGGACACACAGCCGCTTTCATGCAAACACCTGATTAATGGCCAAACTGGAATGGAAACGCCGGACATGAAGGATCAGCAGCCTTTGTGAAAAACAACTGTTTTCAGAGTTCCCTTGGGGCACTGGCAGCTCGTTAAATTGAGCTTCTATCTAGTAATGAGGTCAGACAGGGCTAATAAAGAGAGATACCACTGGACAAGCCTTGTGCGGGCCAATTCCAACTGGGAATTGTGGCTCTGGGCTGGAGACAGCACTACGTACGCGATGGCTCCTCCAGCCCGCAGAAGCTGTGCCTAGCACAGGTCCCTCGGGATAACAGTGGGAGCCCTGCACAGGGTGCTGGGTGCTGCCTGCACCCTCCTGCCTCCCCCATAGGCAGGAGGAGCAGCCCGGGGACTCTCTCTGAGCCGGTCAAGGTGAGATGGCTCCGTGTTTCTCACAGCCCACAGGACAAGAGGAGAGCAGAGCCCGCCGCTCTCCTGTCCCGCACGCTGTGGTGTGTGTTATACCCACACGGGTACCCCACAGTCTGGAGCACGGTGGCCAAGATGCGCCCACTGACACCAGGATGCTCCACTACAGCTCTTCCTGAGGGTTTGGTTTCCATGACAACAAATGATGATGTCAGATGAGAAGAATGATGATTCCTGTGAATGTGGAAGAAGAAAGGGATCATCTCCACGGCAGGAAGCTTCTTGTTGACGTTTGGAGAGAGAAATAATTCTTCTGCTTGACTTATGGCTGCCCTCCCAGTGCCAAACAACTACTGAGCCACGACTGCACCGGCGGCGTGGCACCGACCCTGCAGGCCTGCCTTCATCCCCGAGCCCAGGCTCCCGGCACGGCGACGCCAGAGAGCGAAGGGTGGGACGGGGCTGGGCTGCTGGGAGCCGTGTTTCTCTACATCCCCCTAACTCTACCAGTTTTTCTTCTCTTACAACATGACGATGGGCCCGGGCAAGGGTTTGGGAGAAAGACATGGAGGGAAGCGGCGCAGGTCAGAACGGGTGGGAGCACAGCGGAGCAGGGAGCAGGCGGGGACGGGGAGAAGCACGCCGCTGCAGTGGAAACCAGAGCTGGCCAGGATCAGAGACGTCTTCAGCCACCGGAGAGACAGCGGAGACCAGAAGGGCAGATCACAGGCTCACACACTCAGCCGTGAATCGGAGAAGTTGTTTGGGACAGATACAGTGCTTTCCTCGATCGTTTACAAACATGGCTTGAAAATTGCCTAACATAATCTGCAAATCCAACTCTCATCCCTGGCTCGGAGAATGCCAGGCCAGCGCAACGCCCCACGTGACGGAGCAGAATGCTGCTCGGTTCAGGGAACAGCAGCCCTTCAGAGGCACTGCCCAGATTTACGTGTCTAATACCCACACAATACAGACTGCAGGCATAAGCTCTGCGTTATCTTAAGAGATTAGCAAAATACCATATTGTGTCACGTATATGCTGCAGTGTAGCACCCCTGTATGAGCCATTCAAGGATCTAATATGACGTGAAGCTCCAACATACCTATTGTACTGAAGTTTCTGTTAGGTATTTTTCCCAGAGCTAAGATACATCTGGATTCCCCTCCAGTTCCTCCCAGCAGGCTCCCATTAGAAGACATTGAATCTCTTTGTAGGAACTTTCCACGATTAAATTACCTGTCTGTTTTCATTACGAGGGTTTCAATGAGGCTGACTCATGATGAAATCCCTGGTACCAGAAAAAACAGCTGAATAAGTCCATGCATGAAGGGACTGCTTCCCCATCCCAGATCCTCTCCGCAAGGCCACCCGTTAAACTCCTCAAGAACTGCAGAGTCTTCCCACGTACGCAGGCGCTTGATGGGAGATGGGTCCCAAAGCGCCTCGCTGCTCCCCTCCACGTGAAATGGCCAGTGGAGGCACGGGATGGGCTCCTGAAAAGACGCGCTTGGTCAGGAGGCGCAAGGCACTGGCTGAACGTGCTTATCTTTGTATGGAACAGTGACAAAACGAAAAGCTCAGTCAACCCTGGAGCCTTAAGACTGCTCCTTTCATGCTACGATTTCTAGCCCTTCAGGGTGAATACTATCAAATAACATTGCATTTGTGTAAAATGGACGTTTCGAGTAGAACTGTATCAGCTTCTGGGAATGCGCACTGGAGCGTTACTGCATCTACTGCCTGAAATAGAAACCGAAGAAAACAAGGAGCAGCCTTCACTTCCAAGGTGCATCTTTGCAGAATTGCCACTTTTTTGCCGTTTATGTCTGCACATCTCAGCTCTTAGGTGTTTCCCATTAAAGCTTCCCATAAAGCTGTAGGATGGATTTCTTGCCTCAGTGCAGGAAATTTAGCAGAAAGATTGTTACTGGCAGCAGGTTTCTGAATCAGGCTGGAGCGCAGTATAGTTTAAATAG